GGTCCTTCTCTTTACTAGACTAGCCAAACCCAGTTCCTGCAACCGTTCATTGTATATTTTAGCCTCCAGTCCCCTAATCACCCTGTTGCTCTTCTCTGTACTTTTTCTAGAGTCTCAACATCTTTTTTATAATGTGGTGAACAAAACTGGATGCAGTACTCTAGGTGTGGTCTTACTAAGGCTTTATGGAGTGGTATTAGTACTTCCCTTGATCTTGACTGTATCCCTCTGTTAATACAATTTAGGATTGTATTAGCTTTTTTGGCTGCTGCTGCACACTGCTGGCTCATATTTAGCTGGTTGTCCACTAAGACTCCAAGATCCCTCTCACAGTTACTGCTATTGAGCCTGGTTTCACCCAGTCTATATGTGTACTTTTGGTTTTTCTTGCCTAAGTGTAGGACTTTACTTTTCTCTACATTGAATTTCATTTTGTTAGATATGGCCTAGTATTCTAGTTTGTCAAGATCCATCTGGATCTTGAGCCTATCTTCTTGGGTGTTAGCGATTCCTGCCAGCTTAGTATCATCTGCAAATTTGGTAAATTCCCCTTCTATTCCCTCATCGAAGTCATTAATGAAGATATTGAAGAGTACTGGGCCTAAGACGGAACCTTGTGGCACCCCACTGCTTACTTCCCTCCATGTAGACTTAGGCCCATTAAGGACTACTCATTGAGTACGGTTTGCCAGCCAGTTGCGAATCCATCTAGTGGTGGTGCTATCTATTCCACTTTTTTCTAGATTACTAAGAAGTAGGTTGTGATCTACTTTATCGAATGCCTTGCTGAAATCTAAATATATTATGTCCACAGTATTTTGCTGGTCTACTAGTTTAGTTACTGTGTTGAAGAATGAAATAAGATTGGTTTGGCATGATCTGTTTTTAACAAACCCGTGTTGACTGCTAGTTATTACTTTACTTATTCCTAGATGTTGGCAGATCTGTTTTTTTATTATCTTTTCCAGTATCTTCTGGGGTATTGATGTTAGGCTGATTGGTCTATAGTTTCCTGGGTCTGTTTTTTTCTCCTTTTTTGAAGATGGGAACCACATCAGCTCCTTTCCAGTCCTCTGGTAGTTCTCCGGTGCTCCAGGATTTTTGAAAGATATGGTGCAGTGGTTCTGAAATGACCTCTGCCAGCTCCTTTAAAACTCTGGGATGTAATCCATCAGGCCCCAGTGATTTGTTTTCATAAAGATCAGACAGGTGTTCTCTTACTATTTTTTTTTTATTATTTTAACTTTTATTTCTGGTCTGTCTTTTACAGTTATGTTTTTGGTGGGTTGAGCTATAGTTTCTTTTTGCGTGAAGACAGAGGCAAAGAATGAGTTAAGCAGTTCTGCTTTCTCTCTGTTGCCTGTTACTTCCTTGCCATCTCCTCTCTTTAGTGGACTGACTGATGGTATGGCACTCACTATTAAGTGCTTGGTTTTGGTTGGCATCAAGGTTGATAATCTTACCTTCACAAACATCTATTTTGCATGCACTGGTATCCTTATCAGTTTTAGGTTGCTGGAGACAGAGATGTTCTGAATCCATTAATTCTCTGTCCCT